AGATATCTTCGTCCACGATACCATACTTTGCCTTCATATTCTGAACTAGCTCAAACTAGCCCTTAATAAGCGCTGGGTCTTCGCAGAGAGCTCGCTGGTGATCGTATGGACGGCTCCGGCGCGTACGCAGCTTAGGATTGCGCTGGACAAACCTATCAACCCAGTTCTTGCCCACCTCCTTCCCGCCACGCTCTCGGAGCAGTCTGTTGGCCATATCTCGCACGTCGTCTTTCCCACAGGGTAGTCCTCGCTCAGCCTCGACTATTACACGCATAGTAATAGCCTCCTCTTCTAGTTTTGTTAGGCGCCTTGCTGGTGGCTCCCAATCGCTTCGAGGGCGCTGTCCAGCTCGTCGACGCTAGATTGTTGTTCGTGGGACGCTATAGGCGGCAGCAGCGCGTCGTTCACTCTAAATTTGTTTAGAATTAAGATTAGTAATAGCAAGGAATAAATCTGCTTTAGTATAAGTTTTTAACGCGTTGCATTGTTAAGACATTACGCGTTGTTGTTGCAAATGTGGGATATCATAGGGAAGTGGCCCACGTACTGGGGTGGCCCGCTTACTGGTGAAACACGTTATATATATATATATATATGTAGCTATACATGTATGTATGTACGTAGGTAGGTAGGTTGATGCTATATCTCCTCAGTCCAAGTCCCTCTTATTTCGTGTTGTGGAAATGTCATGGTTTTATGTAGTGTTTATGTATTTGTATGTATTTATTATTTCTCAAGTGATGATGACATTTGTATAGTTAGGGGTGTTGGCATATCTTAATTTGAGATGATTTGTGAAATGAACGTGCGGAGGGTTTTTTTATTTCTTGGTGTGTTTACGTTTCTTGATTTTTTTTGATTTCTGGGTTGCTTGGAGAAGAGGGGGAGAGAGGGTAGGGGGAGATGGAGGGTTGGTTGTTGGATTAATGCATGTTATGTATGTATGAAGTGGGTGGATGGGGATCTTACTGTACTGCTTTCTGTTCAGGATTCTTACGAGCATTATGCATGTGGGGATGGATAGATGTTAGTGTTAGTGTCACCGAGGTGTTTCCGTTGTATGTCTGAGTCTGTTGTTCTTTATCTTTATCATCAGCATTGTTGTTGTTATTGTTGTGGTCGTAGAGAATATTACTGTTTTCATTGTCATGTCGATTATCATTATCATTACCACTACCATTACCATTTCCAGTCTTTCGTATACTTATGCATAACAGAAAAATTAGAAGACCTCTCCCCCCCGCCCCCTCTACCTATGTATGTTTGTGAAAGTAAAAAACCCATCCACAAGCTAGCCAGCCATGCGCACGAAGACAATAAGTATGGCGAGAATTAGAAACCAAAAAAGGGGGGAGATACAAAATGTGTGTTAAGCAACCAGTTCCGGGTAACAAGATCAAGGCCAGCCATTTGTTGTGTCGTTGGTTGGCCGAGTACAAAAGACAAGACAAGACAAGACAAAACTCAACGACAACGACATCGCAAGAAGGGGGTGGGATGGATGTGTGCAAGGACACAAGTACCCAGAGTGACCATAGTCACACACACATACAAAAGTATCCGCAGATACAAACTCAAAACTCAGTCGGAAACACACACCTCTTCTCCTCCCAAATACTCTCTCCCACATACTTTCTCTCTCTCACGTACCACATAGTCCCACACCAACCCCATCAAACAACCCAAGGCACCACTCCATCCCGATGATACTTGCCCCTCGCTCTACGATCCATAAGCAACTCCTTCGCCGCATTAAGTTGCTGCATGGTCAGATTGGCCAGCTCGCGCTCCCACGGTGCCGCTTTATCCGGATGCAGAGTCGCAGCCCGCCGCCGGTATGCGCTTGCGATGGCATCGGAGGATACGCGCCATGAGTTCAGGCCCAGCATGTTGTACACAAGCATGTTGACTGGTGGAAGGAGGTTGGACGGAGAGGAAGAGGGGTTTGTGCGGGGGCGGAGGGAGCGCGTGGTAGATGTAAATGTAGATGCAAATTCTCCTGATGCAGCAGCACCCGTGGAAATCCAAGACAAAGCCAAAGACGAAGACGAAGATGAGGAAACCAGTGGCGATGACGACGACGACGTTGCTGTTGACGTTGCAGCTGGTGAAATCATACCCGTCCTGCTACCCACACTGTAATTCTCAATATCCTCCCAGTACGGATCGGCGCTCGACAGCGTAAACGGCGTGTCGGGCAGCCGGGGCGACGGCGCGGGCGTCGAGTTGGAAGAGTAGGTGCGGTCGCTGAGTGGAGTTCGTGGTGTGCTTGTTTTGGAGCGCTTGGGCGTGAAGAGGGGTGTTGCGGGGATGTGTGTCGATGGAGATGTAGATGTAGATGCGTCTGCGTCGACGAAAATAGTAAAGTTTGGTTTGCGCTTCTTGCTGCTGTGCGGGAGAACAGGAGGCGGAAAGTCGAGTTTTAGGTGGAGTTGGAGTTTCAAGGCCTTGGGAAGCGTGCTGGTTTGAGACCGCGTTTGCGGCCGACGACCACGATGCAATGCGGTGGGCTCGGGGGCAACCGGTTGCTTTGCGGATTCTGGAGTGGGGAGCGGTGTTGAGGCGGCGAGGGCGAGGAAGAAGGCGTCTGTCGTGGTGGTGGACATCTTGATGGATGGATGGATAGCTGGAGATGTATGAATTATAACCCAACTTGTTGTTGGAAAGAAAAGAGAGGAAACGCCAGAGAAGAATGGAGGAATGAAACACCTGAGAATATGCCTACCTTTGGGGATAGTATAGAATTGACTTGACTTGACTTGGAAGTCGTGTTGAACTGGACTGGCTCAATTGCCAACCAGGAGTTGAGAGGGGGAGAGAAACGAGAGGATGACCAGGACGGGGAGTAGTAGTATGTCGTATGTAGTAGTAGTAGCAAGTGTTAAGCCCAGACGAACGACACTCCAAAGCCCCAAGTCCAAGTCTTAACCCTTGAACTCGAGTCTGCAGTTGAATCCCAATCAATCAATCAATCGAGAAAGAGTGCAAGTCTCGCAAGCAAAAACCTACATTTGTACTTGGAAAATCATGAGGCGCTGTCCCCGCCTAACGCCCCCCCTCCCGCCGATCCGAGCGTTCTCGTAGTGAAGCCGACAAAGGGACAAAGCCGCGGGACCACTACCAGCGCCGCCGCCGCCCCCCCTTGGCTACGCGAGGTCAACGCGTAAAGTGGGCTGCTGACACACGTGTTGGAGGGCATGGCGGACGCGTAAGAGGGGCAGGGCGCGGCGAGATGTGACGTATGTGGAGCGGTTGGGAGAGGTAAAGGTAAGGCGTGGTGAAGTTGAGGTATATTGTGTGTTTACAACACCAAGGCTGCTGGAAGGAGTGGGGCTAACTTGGAGGTGTGAATTGGGGATTCGGCGTCATGCCTGTCTCTGTGCGGGTTGTGGTGAATGTGTTTCTTGGTGATATTGTCTGGGTGCTTGTGTCTGTGGTACACGGTTAGCCTGTGAGTTTCTGGGTTGAATATGCTTTTGAGGTGGGGTTTGGATGGTGCTGGGAATCTTCGATTTGGGACTGGTAGGTGCTTATTGCATGTAGGTCTTGGGATATGTAACGTCGCGGACACGTGATGAGAACATGGTATTGCGCTTGGTTGGCAATGGCAATGTCAATGAAACTTTTTCTCACCAGAATAGAGAAGAGGAGGGAGAATCAGATTTGGGGAAAAATTCAAGGCTCTCTGGGGGGTGTATGCTCTTGCTGCATCAACAACAACAAGGTACCAATAGTACAAGATGCTGGGATCGAAGATGGCATCACAGAACATTTTTAGATAGACCTGATTCTCGTTATAATCTCTAAGGCAACAAATAATCCATTGATAGTGCCAGGGTCAGGTGACGGGATGAGGAACCAGTGGAGGTCTGGGTGGAACGACCAAAACATCGGGCCGAGCGACCGACGACCGACACGCGTACAGTCCCACGAACGACGACACTACACATAGCCTACCGCCATAGCGGGTCGGCAGCATGTGGTTCACTAACTTCTACTAATGCGAGGTACTTACAATGCAGGCTCTAGGATCAAGATGTAGCGCCGACGCTGATGCGGGGAAGAGCCCACGAGAGCCGAGGCAGAGGCGCTCGAGTAAGGATATCAGCTACAAATAACTTGCAGCCTCCAGTACTGCTGCATTAGCTCGGCCGCCCTCGCAGTAGCCGCCATGTCAGCCCAACAGAAGCCTGGGACGAAGATGAAGCTTGATCCTGCCCCGACGCGTCTACGCCAGATTGCTCTAGTTGTGAGGGATCTCGAAGGCGCAACGCAGCAGCTTGTACGATGAAGACTGCAATCGCGCGTCAAGAAGCTGACCAAGACATCAGACGCACATTCTAGGCACCAACGTTGTTTTTGAGGATCCCGCCGTGGAGCAATGGGGGCTGAAGAACGTGCTGCGTGCGTGGTACACATAGTCTTGCGCCACCCGAACTGCGTGGACTAACTCAACGGCAGTTCCACTGGGCGGCGACTTGATCGAGATTGTGTCGCCCACCAAGAGTGGCACAACAGCGGGAAGATTACTGGACAAGCGCGGTGATGGCGGATACATGATCATCATGCAAACCGAGGACGCAGAGAAGCGGCGCGATCACATCAAAGCGAACAATCTGGCCAGAGTCATCTTTGAACAGCAGCATGAAGATGCTGTGTGCGTCCAGTACCACCCCAAAGACATCAAAGGTGCGTTCGTTGTCCACGCCCAGCTTTTGCAGGCCCAGGCGAGTGGTAATAAGCGGCGCAGGCGGCATGATACCGGAACTCGACTCCCACAAACCAGGCCCAACTAACCCCACGCCTCTCAAAACCCGCTTCTCTCCATGGCACGCGTGCGGCTCGAATGTTGAGAGCTACACCCCTGGCATGAAACAGACGGGTCACCTGTCGCTAGAGGGCTGTGTCTTGTGCCTCCAGCCTGGCGACGTCGGCCACGAAGCAGCCGCCCGACAGTGGGAAGAGGTATTCGGCGTGGCGCGAAGCCGCGATTTGTTGGCCTTTACCAATGCAAGACTGGGATTCGTCCGGGGGAGACCGGGACTCGCAGAGGGCCTTGTGTCGATCACGGTAGGCGTCCAGGGCAAGGAGCAATATGAAAGCATACTAGAAAGAGCCAGGAAAGCCGGCATCTGCAGCGGAAGATGCATCGAAATGTGCGGGGTCAAGTGGTACCTTACACTGACGGGCTCGGGCGACAACAGGGGTAAGCTATAGCTTCACGCATACTGAGATATGTTTATTTCCACAATACTCCCACTGCCGCACGTGTTCGCAGATTGCGCTCGAGGTATACAGGGCCTGACTTGTGCCACGTATGATGCTCATCTGCAGCCAAGATGTGGGCGCAGATGTGGGCGCCCCAGTTCGTGTGGCGACGGGCGTTATCCTACCAGCAAATGTTCTCGAACACCGTATGAACCACGCCTCGCCTGCATCATCACAAAGATTTCACACATAGTCTGCAGGCTTTTCTTCGTCCCTCATTCCGTCAGTATGGCAACACGTCAAGCGCCGCGGTCAGGACCACCGGCACACAATGCGCAATACGGATTCGCAACAGACGGGACCAACTGCGCCCGCCACACTAGCGGCCTGCCCTCCATTCCGCCCCTCACCCTCAGCCTGCCCTACTCCGCTTGATGGCGGACCTTCCCGGCCCATTCAACCTGTAGCGGGCAGGAAGAAACTGGGCATGCGAAATCCAGAGACCAAACGCATGCTCAAGGCAAGGCAGAGCGTCCGCCAAAGCGCATCATCTCAACAGCACCTAAAGCGAAGCAACACCATGACGACCGCGGACAGGCTTGATGCCTCGAAAACGCCTTGGGCACAGCCCCCACACGAAGCCCATACAAACCACACGAAGCCGTCTTCGGATAAGCACGCGACTCAACAGTTCTTCGTCTTTCGCACATTTCCACAGATTACCGCAATCAACCCCAAGAGTTTTTGTACTGGCCATGCCCTTTCGCCCACTCGCATTCCCTAGCGTCTACTTCCACTCTGTCAGCACTACGCCTAGCGCAAGTGTAAGAGCTTTTGATTACATGTAGCCCGGGCGGAGACAAGATTTGCAACTAGAGAGTGCACACTTGCACACTTATACCACCCATGACGCCACTAAAGTCGTCCTCTACACAAACCCTTGTTTCCCCCTGCATCACAGCAGCTTAAAAACCCACTCTCCCGCCAGCTTCTGTCACGAACACGCAGTATTTCACCACCGATTTCTGTTCTCAAGCAGACACCAGCGCGTGCTCGTCAACTTGGCCGCTTAGGATTGCGGCCCCCACCTTTGTTCTAGATCATTCCCGTTCAGCTCACACCAAAACTATCGGGACCCATCACCATGTCCAGACATAGGAGTCCTGTCAACGACACGCGCGTTGATAGTGCAATCTCTCTCCTGATTCCCCACGAAGAAAGCCGACCGTATCTTTCCACCGTTCGCAAGCCGCACATTTACAAAGAGAGCCGGTCACATGCCATCCGGCACGTGATGCCAAAGCCATCACCCACCACTCAGGTAAGTCTGCTCATAACTCTACTGCCTCCAACTAAGTCGAGTTCAGGCCGAGAAATACATCCCGCCGCACCGCCGCACCTCGCGTGTGTACGATGAGCTCGACTCATTCACATGCCGCCGTACAGACGTCTCGATGACCCTCCCATCTCTTGCTCGCTCGAAACATCCATCCTCGGTTTCTCCCTCAAACTATACAGCGTCTGATCTATCTACATTCACTCGACGCACTTCAGCTACTTCGTCAAGCTCTACTGCGTCAACTAAATCCGCAATCACTAACAGCAACACCTTGTGGTGCACCGATTGCAATGTAGAGTTCACGGGGCCATATAGGCGCGGGAACCTTAGACGGCACATGCAATACAAACATGCAGGAGCGGCATGGGCCCGGTTCAGGTGTCAGGCCGACGGATGCTCCAGCGACTTTGCCCGTCCAGATGCTCGACTCAAACACCAACGTCAGCAACATCCCGAGTTAAGCTTTGAGTCTGTGGAAAGAGAAGCATCCCGCCCACCTGCAACTTACATGAGCAAAGCAAAAGAGCCTTCAGTAGTGATGCCCCCACCCCCCTTTGCCCTCGATATCGATGACGTACCTCGGTCTGCTCTGATCGTCCTCTGCCGTGTGCGTGCAAGGCTTGACGATGCCAACTACGCCCGGTTTCGCGACATGTACATGACACTATTGGAAAGGCTGGTGCAACACCTACGAGACACAGAGTATAGTAGCCAACCATGTTTATTGAGCGTACACTAACAACGCCTTCAGCTCTGACACATACGATGCATATGTGAAAGTTCTCGAACACATCAACGTTGTTGTGGATGCCATCGATTCCGGTTCAATTGATGTTGACAACTACGCTCATCAAAACGTGGCAGATGCTGAACCATACAGCTACTCCTCTCGACCTGCACAAGCGGCTAGCTCTTCCAAGAATGGAGGATCTACGGTAGATCTTTGGTCTAACGACAAGCTACAACCAAGTTCCAACTACAAATCTCCAGGGCGTAAACCAACGTCTCGTGGGCAGCAAAACAGTTTCAAGGTTGTCAAAAGTGACCGGGATAAGAGACCGCGAACCAGAGCAGTTGATTGTCCAGACCACAAGTACTACATGATGTCGTCTGACCCCCAGACGCCTCCTTGTAGAGGCTGTAGAGTGCTTGACATGTCTCAACTTCGCAATCATCTCAAGCGCACATCTCATCAGGGCCGTTTGGGCGCCCAGCAATGCTCTAACTGCAAGAGGGAATTTGACAGCTACGAAACTTTCGACGCACATAAAGCGGCAAGGAATTGCCGACACGAAGCCCAGTGTAGAGGAGATATTGTAATACCATGGGCGCGACTCTTTTTGTCACGGCATCCGACAGCTGACAGAATACCTAGCCCTTGTAGGTGTACCGTTCGACATGCACCGCACTGTCTACTAACGACTACTCAGTCTGCGACGAGAGAAGATGGTTGGAGCCATTTGTCTTGGAACAATGCCGAGCCTGGCTCCAAAACAACAACTCGGATCATTTTTTAGACGATCAACCATACAACATGCCAGGACCGCCTAACGACGCATCACATCTCGACCCTCCCATTTCGGCTGAATCGCTCAATCGAGCCTTACAATATACGCTATGGCTGGCCATGGGTTTTGAATCATGGTTTCCCGACGCCCCCAATAATGCTCATGCCGCCAATGCCTCCACGGGCTTCATCAATGGTGCGGGATCTAGCGGACAGATGCTGCCGTACCCTAGTCCAGATGATATCCTGGGCACATATTACTACAACAATGCGCATGTCTATGGGACTCCTGTAGAAGAAGAACCACTCTTGCCGATGGGGCAGCTAAGACCTCTGGCTGATGGGGCCGAAGCAGCAGTGCATGCGGCTGAAAACTACACTCAGTACCAGCCACCACAGCACATGGTTGATGGATCAGAGCCCTACACCGACCCAACATTCATACCTACCCAAGCCCCTTACGATCCTAGTCAAAATGTGCCACAGTATTGGCCTGGATTCGATCAGTCGATACCAAATGAGAGTCCTCAAACTCCCCTCATCGACTACCATCATGCGCCATCGACAAGTACGCCATCATACCACCCAGACCAGTATGCTGGCTCGTCGCAGTACGACACATCGCAGCAGACGGATCCCTCGTCGATATCCGGATCTATGGAACAAACATATTTCAGTCCCTCGGCTTCTCCTCACTACTCACGCGCACTTGATAGCTTTCATGCCTTCGACTGTCTTGTTCCGCGCGTGAGACGGCCCGACTATCTAGCCTTGCCCTCCCCACTACCTGCAGATTTCCAAGCCATGGGAGCATCAATGGGTTTACAAACTGGACCGAGCAGCTTACAGCAAGCATTCTCCAATGATCAACAGAGCGATGTAGCGGGAGCTGGCCTGTGGGATGCGGAATCACTGTAGATGGCTTTCTTTCATTCTATCTTTGTTGGCTACATTACCCGGTTATCTTCGCCAGGTCTTCTTTTTCGCATTCAGGGAGTTTGATTGCTTGGACAGCATGTTTGAAAAAAAAAAGATGGTTTCGATCATGACCCAAATTTTGTACAAAACTCGCATTAACGAAAGACCCAAACGCACTTTGATATCCACTTTATTTCTCGCACAAACCGTGCGAGATGGGATTTCTTGAATAGATAAGAAAAGACAGCTCCCAATAATACACTGGCTGAGCTTTACAACCGGCTTTGAATCTTCTCAATGGTGTCGCCAAGAGCGTACTCGCAGGCCGCTGTCTTGCTCCGGACCTTGTCGCCATCTTCCTTTGTGATGTAGCGGGCCTCTACCGCGGGGTTATATGTAAACTGGCTGACGCGCTTGACATCCTCATCGCTCATCTTGACGCCCTTATTGCCGTCCGCACGTTTATACACGTTTACAACGACGGCGCCGCCCAAGCCTAGATTATGCTGCAGTGCTACATCTACGTTCTCCGCAAGCCTATTGTTAGCCCAGCCACGCAGCTGCCACACCAACTCTGCACACTGCGCCAGACCTGTGGCGCCCAGCGGATGCCCTTTACTAATAAGGCCGCCTGAGGGATTCACAAGCGGGCCATTACCACCATACGTGATATCGCCATTTCGCACCATCAAATGCGCTTTTCCAGGCTCACTGAAGCCTAGGCCCTCGAGCAAGATAAGCTCGTTGGTGGAGAAGCAGTCGTGGACTTCAGCTACTTTAACGTCTTTCGCACTTACATTCGCTTCTTTCAGCGCGGCCCGCGCCGCCGTCTGCGTCATGCCGTACCCGATGAGATCGATAGCTGACCGCGTATACAGCGACGGGTTATCTGTTGCAAGCGCCTGGCCCGCGATGAGTACAGCCTGCGCCTTGAGATGCGGGCGGGCGTCCAGAAACTTCTGGCTTACGAGCACGGCGGCGCCAGCGCCGTCGCTCGTTGGACTGCATTGAAGCTTCGTAAGCGGATAGTGGATCATCGGCGCCTTTTCAATCTGCTCCAGCGTATACACGTCGCGGAACTGTGCGTACGGGTTTCGAGAGCTGTGCTCGTGGCTGAGGCGTCCGATCTCTGCGAAATCACGGGCTGTTGCCCCGTGCCGCTGCATGTACTCGACGCCCGCGTTGGCAAAGTACTGGGCGTTTGGCGGGCTGTTGCTGATGCCGTGGGTATCGGCCATGACACGCATGGAGAGGCCCATGGGGGACGGCCGGTCTGTCCACGTCGACGTTATGGATCCGGGCTTCATTTGCTCGAAGCCGATGACCATGGCGCAGTCGATCGCGCCGTGCTTGATTAGTGTGCGGGCCATGTGTAGGCCTGTGGAGCCGGTGGCGCAGGCATTGTTTGTGTTGTAGATGGGGATGCTGAGGTGGGTTAGCACATCTGTATACTAGTAGAGTAGTGTAGTAGTAGTAGTAGTGTAGTAGTTCGCTAATAGGACTTCGTACTAACCCGGTCATGCCAAACTGGTAAAAGATTCGCTGGCCACACGCCGTGTCGCCGTAGCAATAACACGCCACACCCGCCTGGACATCGTCGTAGGTGATTTGTGCATCTAGCATGGCTTTCACGCCCGCCTCGAAGCCCATTTCCGGGTATGCACGTGTTTGTCGCGGCTTGATGAATTGGGTTAGGCCCACACCCAGCACGTAGACGGGGACGTTGTTGTTGGATGCCATTTTTCTTTTCTTTTCTTTTTTGGAAATGCGAGTTTGACAAACAGAAGTGATTGGATGGTTGGTAAGGCGAGAATGGCTGCGATGGCAATGAAACTTCGTGGTTTGTATGCTGTGGTCGCGAGGCTACGGGCCGAGGTTGAGGCGGGCTACGTACCCCTCTCGACGTACACCGATTCGCATAACTCTACTCCTCTCTTCGAGTCGCTCTGCCTCGCCATATCCACGGGTAACAGGTTCCCGGCCTTCTGTAAACGTCATTCCAGCCATGCTGGTCATCGGATTAACGTACTCGCTACCGATACGGCGGACGCCAGATCTTCCGCTTACTCAGATCTACACAGCGCACAATTGGCGCACAGAGCGTAAAGTTTCGTTCCATAGCTTAAATTAGACTATACGCTTCTCTTAGTAGGGCGCTCCTATTAGTTAAGAAATAGTATACTAGATAGTATAATAGATTAGAAATTCAATTAACACCAAGAACTACTAGTAGTATAGTATTAAAACTTAGTATATAAATAATCTTTAATTATAAATAGACTAGCGAATAGGTATAGAGTTACTAGAATAAGTATAGAGTAGAGTTAGGTTATATAGATCTTAAGTAGAGATAAAGTTAAGATATATAAACTTAAAGTAAAAACAAAGTTAAGTTATATAAAAATTAAGTAAAAGTAAGATTAGATAAACTATAACGTGTTTCACCAGTAAGCGGGCCACCCCAGTATGTGGGCCACTTCCCTATGATATCCCACCTTTGCAACAACAACGCGTAATGTCTCAACAACGCAACGCGTTAAAAACTTATACTAAAGCAGATCTATTTCTTGCTATTACTAATCTTAATTCTAAACAAATTTAGAGTGAACGACGCGCTGCTGCCGCCTATAGCGTCCCACGAACAACAATCTAGCGTCGACGAGCTGGACAGCGCCCTCGAAGCGATTGGGAGCCACCAGCAAGGCGCCTAACAAAACTAGAAGAGGAGGCTATTACTATGCGTGTAATAGTCGAGGCTGAGCGAGGACTACCCTGTGGGAAAGACGACGTGCGAGATATGGCCAACAGACTGCTCCGAGAGCGTGGCGGGAAGGAGGTGGGCAAGAACTGGGTTGATAGGTTTGTCCAGCGCAATCCTAAGCTGCGTACGCGCCGGAGCCGTCCATACGATCACCAGCGAGCTCTCTGCGAAGACCCAGCGCTTATTAAGGGCTAGTTTGAGCTAGTTTAGAATATGAAGGCAAAGTATGGTATCGTGGACGAAGATA